CGATTGCTAGGCGGTGCCATGGTGAATGGCGTGCAAACTTGCTTCTTGGGGCACACATGGGACGCTGTGGGCGTGTCTTCGTCATCTTTGGGAGGTCTTGTGCTTGTTACGCTTCAGGCTTGCTGTTGAGGCACACAGATTCAGCACACGATGGACGGGTAACAACATGGTTCGGGACGACTCGCCTCATCAACGGAAGGCCGCTCTTTGGGCGCCCTGTGACCCGTGACCCGCCGTCACGCTTTCCACATATGGTGCCACCGCCCTCGCCGACGTCGGAGTGTCCGGCGGCGGCCAGAGCAGGTTTCGTGGCCAAACAACGTATATGCAAGGGACTCACCTGTGATCCCTTTCATGGCGTGGATGCTTTGAACGTTCCATGGCCGGCTATGTGCTATCTGCATAGCTTAGGTGTCTCGGTGCACCCACAGGACTCGGAGGCTAACTGGCCACTGCGAGTTGTCAGACTATGTCTAGGCAGGGGCCCAACGCGCTACTACACGAGCTGCAATGTCATTACCTGCTTCAGAAGCCTTCTTCAGGTGGAAGCAGTGTGCATCTCCAGACCTGTGAATGGATGACCAGTGTTGTGTTGTTCATATTGCAGTCCTAGTGGTTCTCATCCTCACCGTGTCATTCTTGCGCTGCCGCGATGTGTGGCCGTTAACCTAGATGCGCTGGGATCCTCCCTCAAAAGTTATAAGGTCACTTATGCTGCGAGGAAGTCCAAGAAACCAGGAGACCGTCGCGGAAGCAAATGCTCGTCGTGAATCGCGCGCGGCGACTTCCTGCGCGCTCATCTAGTCGGGCCTGTCACTAGAATAGGGAAAACGAGCTCTGATCGCCGACGCGACTTTGCACAGTCTAGAGGGCTCGCTTCCATCGCCTCTTACATAAACTGGAGGTGTCGTCCTCCCGCCCCATTCTCATCTTTTTCCCGAACTTCCATCACCCACTCCTTCCCTTCGCCTTTCGGATTCTTGGCCTGCCACCTCGCATCTCCTAAACTACTCATACCCTAAATCCATGAGACGTCAGCTTCCTCCGCCTAATCCTTCTTTTGCTCCCGGACGTCCTCTTCTTCATGATAAGAGCTGTCTACCCTCATATCGTGAAAGCTACATGCGACGGTTCCATCCGTATCCTAGGTATGCCCAGCCCTCGTGGCAGCGGTATGAACATCTCATGGTACGCTCATCGCGATTTGCCGGCAAGTTGCATCGTCCGTAGCTCACCACGGTGTATATCTGCTTCTCCTAGAGAACTGTGGATCATCGGTACGAAGAGGAGCCTTCGACAGATGTTTGGGACATGTCGTCACTGGTGAGCATTGTGTGCTCTTGATCGAGATATAAGCCAAACTCAATGTTCCACTTCAGTTCGTCATCAATGAGGTCGAAGAGGAGGACTTGACAAACTTGGAAGCTGCGCTGTCGAACCAGTCTCATGCAGGCAAACGTCGTCGTCGTCTGTCAGTGTTGGTCATTGTGAGTCTTCAACATTCATTTGACCTTTAGTTTTCCTCAAGGATCGATGTGTTCTCTTTAGGAGCTAGCCCTTTCAATCAAGCGAACTCTGCGCAAGGCAACCCCGCAAAAATAAGGAGCCGCGAATCAGATGTCATTGAACGTACGATGCTTACTGATAGTTTTCCACCCTTCTTGCTGTATCATAGTTCTTCTGCTGTCGCGTTTCTGCGCACTGTTCGCTCTCATGCTCTGCTGCTCCGGATGGAGTTGACTCTCACTCGTTCTTGTCGTCCTCGTCTACTCCGTAATCTTGCTTGTTCATGTATCATATGAATTGTGGGACGTGAATAGATAGATCATGCATAATTTTGTGAATATAGCCCCGTATGAAGCAATGTGGGTGGGTTTGGACGTTACTGTAAGGACTGCAGCGACTGCGACGCGACACGTCTGTCACAATTACCGTGACAATCGCCGACGGCAGTGATGAGAAGGGTCACGTCTCGTACTGCACGTGGTACGTGTTTCCTCGCGCCGCCACTCAGCAAGCACTGCTCTTGCGTCTCCCCTCCGCCTTCATCTATCCTCCTACCCTTGTACCATCGTCCACGGAAATATATCACACTCTAGACACTGGAAGCTCAGAGAACGAACATAACATTGCTATTGTCTTGCTTGCAGTGGTCCTACAAATCATAGGGAGTGCATACGAGAAATCTCGGAGGACGGAAGCATTCGAAGGAGGGCAGGTGAGCTTTGCTGGTACTCACCGACGGCTTTAACGCTCATGTTGTGTCTTATTTTGGCCGGTGGTATTGCATGATAACTCTGCCAGAAAGCATGATGCAACACGAGGACAACGAACCCGTGCTCGACCTGTCTGACGTGGTACACGACGAGCCCTTGGGCGAAGATGATCGGCCAGGTTCTCTTGGCCACACTATTTCCACGACCAGCACGTCTCACACGTCCGACCACTATGCATCCAGCCCTCTTTCTTTGGCAGACGAAGTGAACGTCTTCGACGACCCCGGATCACATTCGCCGACTCTGCTACAAGATGCGGAGGGCGTGGTGCCATCCTTCTCTGTGGAACAGCTTGAGCAAGATCTTGTCGCTCTACTCAGACAGAATGACTCGGCGGTCTCCTCTGCACTCCTCAGCGTCGCAGCACAGCGTCAGGCGCCGCAACTCATTGCGGGTGAGCCTTCCGCCTTGACGGACGGTCCAACAGCATCACAGATGCATGGCTTTGACTCGCTAGGTTCGAGCCTTAGCGCATTGGCTGCAGTTTTGCAAGCTGTGCATTCCGCAGGAGATCACAGAACACAAGGCTTCGATTCAGCAGGACCAGACTTCGGACCTCAGTCCCTAGACGATTCCCAAGCCAAGCAGAGAACACGAAACGCACCCGCATTTCACTCCCTGACTGCGGACGAAGACGTTCCTGGTCTAAGCAGTGGTGCCGGCAGCGGAAATGCGAGCGGGACGGATGGTTCGGAATACCTGTTTGACGAGGAGGGGGAGAGCGAGCACGATGCGGAAGCCGACGTGGCGATTGGCAGACTACGACATTCTTCTTCGCCCGATCGTGATGGTTCTGCCGCAGAAGACCCATCACCTGTCCCGAACGACTTCACTGACATTGGCGATATCATGCACCACTACACCCATTTTGACCAGGACGACGAAGATGACGTCGACCAACTGGACTCCGAACTCCCCTCATCACCTGTTGAAAACAATGTCCTGTTGCTTCCTCGGTATCACCCTTTGCTGCAGCCAGCTGCTCGAGACGATCGCTCGGACGCTATTCCGGAGCTTGATGAATTGGAGAGCGAGGGTGACCAGCCCATCGCTTCGACGTCTAAAAGTGGTGCGGCCAGTAGTGCTGCAGAAAAGAGGCCGAAGAAAACCAAAGAGAGAACAGATCCTGAGAAGGGCCCTCAAGCGCATGTTTGTGACGAGTGCTCGAAGACGTTCTCTCGCCGGAGCGATATGATACGTCATACACGCATACATACGGGCGAGCGCCCATTTGTATGTCCGGAGGCAGGGTGCGGCAAGACGTTCATACAGGCGAGTTCTCTCCACTTCTGCTGACATTAGCACTGACGGTGCCCTTCGTAGCGGTCTGCCTTGCACGTGCATATGCGCGTTCATACCGGGGAAAAGCCTCATATATGTGAGTATCCTGGCTGCGGTAGGACCTTCGGCGATTCCAGCAGCTTGGCTCGACATCGACGGACCCACACGGGTAAGCGGCCGTATAAGTGCGAGCACCCTATATGCGAGAAGACCTTCACTCGGCGCACAACTCTGACCGCACACATGAAGACGCATGACCCAAGTTGGGAGCCAGACCCCAGGATGTAAGTGCTCCTTTAACAGTATGGTTGCATCAGCCTAACGGTCCTACAGCAAGTACAGTTTTAAAGCGAAAAGGGTCAAACTCGATAGCGCCGACCAGGACCAAGAGCTGGAAGCTTCCGTGCGCACACTCTCCGCGCTTTTGAAACAGGGTGACCCCCAAGCCGAGCGATTGCCCTCCGGTCGACCCCCCGAACCTCAGCTAGCCGCCAGCATAAGCGAGGAGCTTGCGGCAGCTCTGGCGCAGGCACAGGCGCGGATACTGGAGGATTATGACGAAGACGAAGACGAGGACGAGGGTTTCGGTCAGGAGCTGAGCCACTGCGAGATTATCGGTCCCAGTACGAGCGGGATACGAGACGAGGAGAGTACGCACTCTACGATGGAGCGGGAGACATCTATCGAGGTGCACCTGCAAGATACGTTGGGCGGTGATGACGCGCTCGACTTTGCGATACCCCTTCGAAAGCGGAAGATGGACGATGTAGCGGCTGCTGTCACTGGTAAACGAAAGCGATAGTTGCTGTATAGCAGAGACGTCAGCGAAGCTCGTAGTTCCCGGTTGAACGAGACGTGTGAGTATATGCCCCAGCCGACACAGACAGCCGTATGACGTGGTATGTAGCATCGGTTCCTTGCATCCTCGTCTTGTATGACACAGCTTTGGCAGCGCGTTCCCGCATGTTCGGAAGTGCAAGAGGTTACAGTTACATCGGCGAGGCTCGAATGCAGCGGCATGACGCGGGCATTATAAGTATAACATCGATTGTGTGAGCAGCCTTCTTCAAACGCCGACGTCGTCCGTCGAATCGACGTGCATTGCGTACTAACACATCATTTTCAGGCCATGATGCGGCTTAGGCCCTAAGCCTACTCCTAAGACGGTCTCGAGTCTTCGGAAGTGGGTCTGAGGACAGGCAGTATGACTGTAGTATGCCTCTCCAGAACAAGCCAGGTGCAGCATATCCTAATGATCATCAGGGTCTCTAATTGATGTTCCAAGGTCATATGCCTATCCAACTCTTGCGTGGCATGCAATAATAGCTCGTCGTGCATGCCGTGAACTCGTTGGCACTGTGTGACCTCCCGTCCCCCGTCCCCCTCCTGTCGCGTTCAATTTCCAACTCGAATAGCTCACTTTGGCAAAAGACATTCCTTTTAGGGCCCAACCGGGAATTGAACCCGGGACCTCGCGCAGCTCGCGTCATCACAGGTTCCATCACCGGGTCAACCCGAAGCGCGAATCATACGACTAGACCATTGGGCCAACAACATGTTGTCGTGCCTGCAAAGGGACCTCTATCCTGTGGCTTGATCGCAGTCAATACGCCGGGGATCAGCTCGACAGGATTTGTGAGTACATATGCAACCGCAGTGGCGTGCCCTGGGCAATTCGATGCGGTCTCAATCTCATGCAATGCACTCTGAGGCAGCAGGCAGTCTCTCCCGTCGATCCCCCAAGTGTACCGGTCCGCAACTGCGGATACGGTCCCCTTCTAAGCCCCGAACCGGATCACGGGCGCATGGACATCATAGCAAGCCTGAGCAACCTACACCGAGCCCCCTGGCGCCGGAATGTAGTGGTACTGGTTCTCAACGAAACAAACCTAGCTGACGAAATGTGATAAGTACGGTGCGAGCCATGACTTCGGTGCCTCTCAGATGTCCCTGCCAGAAGTTCGCCCAGGACGGACTTGGGCGTCGCCAAACAAATTTCCTGCCAATGGGGGTCGACACACTTCGCGGGATCCTTGCGCGCCCTAGGTGTACATGGTATCAGGTATATCTATTCCAAAAGTATGTTATCGTCTCGCCATCAAGTTCCGAGCGTCCATACGTCTCCAGTCCAGCCTACACGTATCTCGAGGACACGTCTAATGAAGCAAGGTTCGCGCGCGCGCGCGCGCCGGGTCACTGTTTCTCGACGTCGCTCCGCTGCGACGACTCTTCCGAGGCGCGAGCCTCCTCGGCGGTGCCATTCTGCTCCGCATGATTCCATGCGGGGGCGGGGCCGAGGAGACGGCCCGGGTGGCAGATGTTCATGATCCACATCGCGAAGACGATCATGAGCGCGTCCATGATCACTGCGGGCGGCGGCCTGTCAGATACGATTACTGTGACGCCGAGCCGAGGAGAGGAAACGCACCGAAGTAGCGCTGCGTGTGGATGATGTGGCCCTGCCAGCCGTCCGCGAGCTCGGCCGTACGGTACCACGATCTGTCGCGGGTGCAGGTGAGCGCTGCCGGAACGGAGGCGGGGCGGGGAGCGGGGACGGAGGGGCATACTTACCGGACGTAGATGCACAGGCTGCTGAACGCGAGCGCGCCGAGCATCTGCTTGGTCTTCGCGTCGAGCGCGTGCGCGGTCTTGACGGTCTGGCGGGCGCCGATGGGTCTGTCGTGGAGGTAGCGGAGGACGAACTCGGTCGCGAGCAGCATGTAGAAGGTGATCGCGACTAAGGGGGCGGGTATCCGTGAGTGGCGGGAGGACTCGACTCGAGTGCAGGGGGCGGCTTACCGGTCTGGAAGATGATGCCGCCGAGCATGGTGTCGCCGCCTGGCTTCGCGCTCTTGTTCTGGTTTACGGCCGCGTCTGCGCTGGCCCCTCCTAGGGCCTGGATGATCAGGGCGATGATATCCTGTCCGTTTGATGCGTGAGCTATGAGAGACGCGAGCTAGTGGGTACACATACGCAGCTGACGAAGACGATGGTGTCTGAGGGAAGCGGGTCAGGTACTGAATACTGAGAAGGCCGAGGGACGTACACCATCTCGCACTGAGTCTGCTGTACTGCTGCCCGAGGCGACGGATGACTTCACTGAGCGTGATGAAGCTTGCGGCGACGAGCGGGGTGGGTGCAAGGATGGTGGTCACAATTCTGATGACGCTGTGAGACGATTGTGGCGTCGTCGCAGGCTATGGCGACTCACTGGATGAGGTACGGGGTGTTGATGTGGATATTGTAGGAAGACCACAGCCGGGCGCCGTGTCCAATGAGTTCCATTATCCCGGCAAGGACAGCAGTGAAGAGCAGCCACCATAGCCGATAGCGGACCGCTTGAAGCAGGTGGAGTACTAGGTCGCACTGTCATGAGCAGCCGTGTACAAGTCGAGATGTTCCGTACGCACTTGTAGACAAGCCAAAGAAGACAATGAACAGGATGCCGATCCAAGCATCAGGGGTGTACCCGTACGGCGAGACGGCGGTGTACGTCGTCTTCTTGAGTTCTGGTGTGGCTGTCAGAGGCCCGATGGCATCTGCGGTAGGGATCTCGCGCACCTTGGGGATGCCACATCTTTGCGAAACGAAGGGAAGAGAAGCGGCGGGGAAGCTCGCTGGCGGGCGTACTAAGCGGGAGTTCTGCAGGGTTCGTCGAAGCGGAGGCTGATTACTGTATGGCTCGGAGCTGCCGCGCCTGGGCGACGCCGGCATCCGTTGGCGGGCCGATCACCGATCCAAAACGTAAGCCAACTTACCTTCGAGGTGGGGTGAGTCTAATTCTGGCCCCTACCCGTGCTCGAGCAGCCCATGGCCAGGGGCCCCGCCCCGCCACCAAGCCCACTGTGGCGCAACGGAATCTCCAAGTCGTGCTTTTGCACCACAGAGCTACAAATTGTCTCCCACGCTGAGTGGATGTACAGTCACATCGCTGTCCGGCATCCTACCCTCCGCAGGGAGTAACTTACGCGGCTGCAGGCCGATTTGCGCGTGGACCGAGGCGGAGTGGGGACAGGGAGGCTTTCCCGATCGGGGTCAGCGTGCCTGATCTCGATCCCATCTTCTCGGCCACCGGAGCGCCCGTTTGGTGCCTGGACTCGGAAGAGGAATTCCGTTACGACCACAACACTCTGAAGACTCATCATGATTTCGTCGGCACAGAAAGACAAAGGAATGGAAGTAGTCTCTCATGAATTTCTGGGAAAACGGACCGATTTGGGGAAAGGCGTAAGAAAGACTCGCGGAGAAAAGGCGACAGGACCTTTCCTCACTCGGGAATGACCCCCGCAGATCCCTTTCTTGGTGCACGATTGTGTGGCAGGAATTGTATCAATTCCTCTGAGCCCTCTTCTCACCCGAAATCGTGCTTTCTTTGTAGTGCAGTATGCCAGGGGAAGAGCATCACCCTACCTTGCGCCTGCCTTTACAATTTCGTCTAAGCATCCCCTCAGATATACGCGAAAGCAAGAGCCTGCCGTCACTAATCGGACATGACTGGTGACGTAGGATAGAGCTACTCCTAAGATCCAAGTTCAGACGCAGCAACAGTCAGCGTGAAAGGAGATGCAAGTATGTAGCTGATAATGTCCGGGAAAACATATTCAAAGTCCGAGTACAACGCCCGCCCTCTAAGCTCTACAAAAGCTCGGTCTATTGTGGGTACTTGGGTTCTCCTTGGTCTGAGAAGCCCATTCCAACCGTCGTTTCGGAATCTTGGGCTTGCACGTTTTGCATGCTGATGCTCTTGTCCGCACGCCATTCGGTACCGTAGCCCAGCAGACGCGCGGGGTGGAAGATGTTGAGTGTCCACATAGCGAGGGCGATCATGACGGCGTCCATAATCACTGCGGATCCAAAGTAGCGTGAGTGTGGGACGAAGCGAACGCAGCAAGGACGTACCAAAGTAGCGCTGCGTGTGGATAATGGTTCCTTCCCATCCATCGCCAAGTTCCTGCAGGGCAGGTCAATTGCACATAACGTGATAATCAGACGGAAGGCGCACAATGCAACGGTACCACGTCCTATCAATCCTACGGAGTGAGCAGATCGTCCACGCCGAAGAGTCGCGGAGACATACCGGACGTAGAAGCAGAGACTGCTGAAGGCCAGGGCCGCGATCATCTGTTTCATCTTGCTATCGAGAGCATAACCCGTATTGACAATGTCGCGCCCGCGTATCGGCCGGTCGTAGAAGTAGCGCAGGAAGAACTCCATGGCGAGAAGCATATAAAGCGTGATGGCAGCTACAGCGTGCTGGTGGTGAGCATGGTCAGGGGACTCGACTCGTTCAACAGCGCACCCGTCTGGAAGATGATACCGGCGAGCATGATGTCACTGCCGGACGTCGGGCTCTTGTGGTTGTTCGCCGCGGCGGCGGCGGCAGCACCACCAAGTGCTTGGACGACAAGCGAGATGATGTCCTGTCAAGGCGGCAGGGATAAGCCTAGTGGAGCGGAGCTCCGAGCTCTACGGTGGGTACATACGCAGACGACGAAAATGATAGTATCTGCAACGGCACCGTCAGTCGCCAGTCGCGCGGGAGGAGCGGACTATGCACGCACACCATCGCGCGCTGAGCCGGCTGTACTGCTGCCCGAGGCGGCGGATGATGTGCCCGAGGATCACGAAGTTCGCGGCGATGAGCGGGGTGGGCCCAATGATTGTGCAAATAATCCTGAGATGCACCCAATGAGCGAAGAAGCCTGCAGACTCCGCGGGAAATACTCACTGCATGGAGAAGGCCACATTTGCGAGGACGTTGTACGAGGACCACAGCCGCCCTGCCCATCCGATCGATTCGAGGATGCCCGCGACGACTGTGGTCCAGAGCAGGAACCACATGCGGTATCGTATCGATTGGAGAAAGTGGAGGACTGGATCGGGTGCGCGTCAGTACCGTGTTGCGCTTTCCCGCCGTCGCCGGAGTGTTTGGACTTACTTGTCGTCAGGGTGAAGAGGACGAACATGAGGATGCCCACCCATGCAGTCGGCGTGTATCCATACGCCGAGGTGGAGTCCTTTCGGATGTCGGCTGCTCGAGCGCCATGTGTATAAGACGCTGTGCCCCCTAGGAAAGTACGACCGGGTCTGACTTACTTTGGGGATGCATGGTGCCAACAGCAAATAGAACCGTAAATAAAAGGAAAAGGGGGGTAGAGTAAGAAGAAACCACGCCGGTGCCAGTGGCCGCTGTTGGACGCACCGTCTTTAAGCCCTCGGAGCCGTCCGCCCGTGCCGCAGGAGAGCAAGGACTGCCAGGGCGGCGCAGGGCCGCAAGCCGACCGGCAGCGTCAGCCTACATTACGCAGCGGTGTCCCTCTCCCGTGAGCGACAGTTGCGCACAGCCACACGCTAAGAGGGGCACTAGGCCTGTGAGTGTGGCGGACTAGCAAGAGCGATGCAGAACGGACACGCATACGCACGACACCTTGCCGGGAGTTGCAACTGGAACACGCACACAGCGAAGCGGAAAGGAAGTCTTTGGCGAGGTCTGATTGGATACAATGGGTTAGTCCGTGGGCGCCACCCCCGGTTCGATCAATCATACCA